ACAATTCTTTCCAAACAATTATGTAGTATATACGTCAATCTTACGTTTACTTTATAAAAATTAGATTTCACAGCAAAAAGACATGTGAATCATGACCTGAAATGGCCTTTTAAGTGCTAAAAAAGTATAAACTATCAATCAGACGACAGAAAGCATGTAGTAGATTGTGTACAATGGGTTTTGATCATGTTGATCATTTAGAGGCCCTACATATTTGCGTATCAAATATGTGACCCTGGAGCACAAAACCAGTCTTAAGTCACTGGGGTATATTTGTAGCAATAGCCAAAAATACACTGTATGGGTCAAAATGATAGATTTTTCTTTTATGCTAAAAATCATTAGGATATTAAGTAAAGATCATGTTTCATGAAGATATTTTGTAAATCTCCTACCGTGAATATATCAAAACTTAATTTTTGATTAGTAATATGCATTGCTAAGAACTTCATTTGGACAACGTTAAAGGCGATTTTCTTAGTATTTAGATTTTTTCTGCACCCTCAGATTCTAGATTTTCAAATAGTTATATCGCGTCCAAATATTGTCCTATCCTAACAAACCTTACATCAATGGAAAGCTTATTTATTCAGCTTTCATGTGATGTATAAATCTCAATTTTGAAAAATTGTTTTGTGGTCCAGGGTCACATATGATACAGTGGGCTTTATAGGGTTAATGGTTAACGTCAAATGCTGTCATCCGAAAAGAAATGTTTAAGATGCAAAGCAAGCTGAAGTTTCCATAGACAAACATTTGATATCATGCACTGATGAACTGTGCACAGTAAGACCAGATGCATGTAATCTGTAAAGTAAGCAACCTTAAACCACTGAAAATCCTCTTACCAGTGCGGTATAAAGAGTGCACACTAACCCAGTCGCCAATACTGCTCCCCATAAATGAAAACCAGTAACTAGAGACAGATACATGTTATTAGTTACAACAGGCAGTCATATTTGTGTTCATGCATTAATAATGTTAATTATGACTATATATATTTGTAACATTACCTGCATTCAATGCAAGAGCAGGTGTATAGATGCCAACACCCATATAAACGACCTGCAAAAAGGAACCACACAGTAACTCTCTCCATGCAATGCATTAAATATGCAAAAATGCTCATTTATTTCACAACAGAGAGGCTGGAACTTACCATCTGAAAAATAAAAGTAACAGTGCCACAAATTCGGACGGCTTTACAGAAGCGCAGCTCCAAATACTGTGAAGTGAATGAGATATGAGCATGTTTAATAAAGCAATCAATGACAAAAGAAAACATTAGTGGTGAAATAGTGGTGCCAGGATGTTGATAAACTATTACAAAAACTAAAGGTTCTAAAAGGGTTTTTTGCAGCGATGCCATAGAAGAACAGTTTTTTTGTTCTCCAAAGAACCATTTAGTGAACAGTTCTTAAAGGAAAAGTTCATAACATTAGCTGAAAATTTACTGACCCGCAGGCCATCCAAGATGCAGACGAGTTTGTTTCTTCATCAGAACAGATTTGGAGAAATGTAGCATTGCATCACTTGCTCACCAATGGATCCTCTGCAGTGAATGGGTGCCGTCAGAATGAGTCCAGATGAGAGTTTGACTCTCATTCTGACGGCACCCATTCACTGCAGAGGATCCATTGGTGAGCAAGTAATGCAATGCTACATTTCTCCAAATCTGATGAAGAAACAAACTCATCTACATCTGGGATGGCCTGAGGGTGAGTCAACTTCCAGCAAATTTTCATTTTTGGGTGAACTATTCCTTTAAAATAACTTTGGTTTTCTAAGTGTAAAGAACATTTTTGTAATCTTAAGTACCTTCTTCCTCAAAGAACAGTTTGTGGAATGGAAAGATTCCATTGACATTCATAAGTTCTTAATGGAACCACTGATGCCAATAAAGAACCTAGAGTGTCTCTAGATGATATCTGCAATATTTTGAAAGGATGTGTACCTGGTAAACACTGGTGAGATGCAGTCTGTAGAACATAGGAATGAAAATGTGTGCTGGTATCAGGAGACCCAGAATATAACAGCAGCCAATAAACCAGTACTGCGTGCCGTTGGCGTAAACCTCAGCCGGCGTGCCAATGATAGCCACAGCCGACTGGAAGGTGGCCATGAGAGACAGAGAGAGTGGCAGGCACTTCATACTCCTGTCTGCGTACATGAACTCTTGCGTGGTGCTCTGCCGTCCTCCGGTGAAGGCGTAGTACAGCCCGATGGCCATGGAGGCCACCAACAACAACGCAAATATCACATAATCAATAATAGTGAAGTACTTCTGCCCCGTGGGATCCATACTGAGACTGCAGGCATGAAGCGTGATATTAGAGTCTCCGCTGCGTGATCAGGACAAAGGTCAAAGCCATTGATCTGCAAATCTGACAACCTGAAACATATCACAACAACTGATATAAGTACTTAATCAATCAGGTTATGATTCCATGTTGTGCTAGTATGTTCACATTGAAATGAAAATTCACCCAATCAATCTACCAAATGCATGTTATAGATCTGACTGTGAATGAATCATACTTTTTTTATTTTAATTTTTTGACATTTTTAAAGTGGGTCTGAAAATGTCAGGCTTCTCTCTGGTGACATTTGTAGGACTTTTCCAATCATTTAGTCCACTTAAAGTTAGTATAAAATTTAAATTCAGCTTATCTAGGTTGCACATGCATTTTCATCCATGTATGTTTTATTTATCCAAGCATTTAGTTTGCTTAAAACTCGGCAGTTTGTGTTCAGATCCACCTCCATTTTGAGTGCCACGCCCACTTTTTAACATCCAATCAACAACTGATATATATGCATGGTCTTGTTGCATATATTGCTTATACCTTTTAATTTTTTTTATATGCTTTTAAATCCTTTCTTGAAACAAGACCATGCATTTATATATATATATATAAAATTCTAAATTACAGTAGCTTTTCTTATTGGTCCATCTGGATTTTTGTGTGTGCAAAAATTAACAGCTTTTATGGAGCATCATTTAACCTCAAATTTCAAATTGAGTCTGTCTAGAAGGGTCTAAAAATATCAAATTCTCTAGAGAAAATGTTATTTTTTACTTCCAGAACCAAACTCTAATGATCTAAAGAGGTACATAATTAAATATGGTAATCATTCATCAGCATCATGGTATATATATCTATATCACAGTACCATGATATTAGCATATTTTTCTGCAGGACTCCAATGGGTTAATCAGGGATGGTGAACGCTAAACCACGAGGCACAGGCACTACGGGGTTAACTGTTCCTGGCAGTTGCAACTAGTTTGCACAGACTGGATTTCGGTTTCAACTTTACCCCAAATGCATGGCCCAGAACCATAATTCATTTAAAACATTAAGTATATTCACATTTGCTCACTGATTTACCTAGTTATCCCTGTAACAGTTGTCTGTGCATTTTCACTTCCTTGTTATTGTGGGTTAGTTGGTGAACGCATGCTGTGTTTCTCAGCGTTCATACAGTGGACAGGGTTCCTCATCATCAAAAGCACATGTAGTGCGTTAACTTACATGCTTGCTCGACATGCAGGTGTTCCTACCTGAAGTAATCAATCAGATCAGTGGAGCTCGAAACGCTTCATGTGTGTCATCCGGGGGCCAGACAGTGAATGTCAGTGTCTCACTCCTCCCAGCGTTAGAGCTGCCATCACGCCTGAAGGTTACTGAGCCACTTTATCAGTCAAACACACTGTGCACCTTACAGTTTACAATCTAAAGATGATCACTGATAGTTATCGTGTTTTCCAGCACACATATGCAACTCTTTTTTCTCTACGCGTATTTTTTTTAAGAATTGGATGTACATTACATTTAATTTTAACTAATAATACGCGCATTCCAATAAAAATGCATCCACGTGGGGGAGAAAATAGCGAAAATAGAGCATAGATTACGCGGCTGCGCAAACAGCGCGCAGTGATGATGCGCTACAGCGCTGTTTGGGGTTTAGCTTCCGAGGTCGCAGGACACTAATAGCGCGCCAGATTTCGATTTTCGAAACGTTCTATTTACAAAGAAACAAATTAGCAAAATTTATCATTTAACCTCAAATTTCAAATTGAGTCTGTCTAGAAGGGTCTAAAAATATCAAATTCTCTAGAGAAAATGTTATTTTTTACTTCCAGAACCAAACTCTAATGATCTAAAGAGGTACATAATTAAATATGGTAATCATTCATCAGCATCATGGTATATATATATCACAGTACCATGATATTAGCATATTTTTCTGCAGGACTCCAATGGGTTAATCAGGGATGGTGAACGCTAAACCACGAGGCACAGGCACTACGGGGTTAACAGTTCCTGGCAGTTGCAACTAGTTTGCACAGACTGGATTTCGGTTTCAACTTTACCCCAAATGCATGGCCCAGAACCATCATTAATTAAAAAACATTAAGTATATTCACATTTGCTCACTGATTTACCTAGTTATCCCTGTAACAGTTGTCTGTGCATTTTCACTTCCTTGTTATTGTGGGTTAGTTGGTGAACGCATGCTGTGTTTCTCAGCGTTCATACAGTGGACAGGGTTCCTCATCATCAAAAGCACATGCAGTGCGTTAACTTACATGCTTGCTCGACATGCAGGTGTTCCTACCTGAAGTAATCAATCAGATCAGTGGAGCTCGAAACGCTTCATGTGTGTCATCCGGGGGCCAGACAGTGAATGTCAGTGTCTCACTCCTCCCAGCGTTAGAGCTGCCATCACGCCTGAAGGTTACTGAGCCACTTTATCAGTCAAACACACTGTGCACCTTACAGTTTACAATCTAAAGATGATCACTGATAGTTGTTTTCTAGCACACATATGCAACTCTTTTTTCTCTACACGTATTTTTTTTAAGAATTGGATGTACATTACATTTAATATTAACTAATAATACGCGCATTCCAATAAAAATGCATCCACGTGGGGGAGAAAATAGCGAAAATAGAGCATAGATTACGCGGCTGCGCAAACAGCGCGCAGTGATGATGCGCTACAGCGCTGTTTGGGTTTTAGCTTCCGAGGTCGCAGGACACTAATAGCGCGCCAGATTTCGATTTTCGAAACGTTCTATTTACAAAGAAATAAATTAGCAAAATTTTAAAATTCACGCGTCAGGAATAAAGTTATGGACGGCCAGGTGGAAACTGTGGAGCAAGGTAAACACACGACAGTCTGTTACCAACTAAACGTGTCAAACATGTCAGAGCGTTTGGAAACTTTTATACGTATTCTATTTAGACACACCTGACTAAATTTATACTTCTGTTCTACGATTTTCTAGGTGTCTGAAACTTTGTTTTGACGGGTTTGTCTACATGCATGGAATTCATTTTGTAGACATACAACTCAATTTATTGTCATTAATTTACATGGCTCCTTACAATGCTTAACGTTTCCCTCAGTATCTTTACTATTTTTTAACAAAATAACACCGACAGAACATATAGTTGGACATTACAAGAGAAAATTTAACTCAACAACAAACGACATAAATTAAAGTGCACACAACGTTAATTTGCAATACCGAAATAATAACTGAGTAGCACTACAGTATACAATCAAACTATATCACTTGTTTTACATTAAATTCAGTCAGTTTATCCAATTAAAAAACAATTAATTAATAAATGGATATATTCTTTATTCAGACATCAATGACTTAAAAAAGTATACCATTGTACTATTAATTTAAAGGAATAGTTCACCAAAAAGAAAATTGTTTAAAATGTACTCGCCCTCAGGCCGTCCAAAATGTAGATGAGTTTGATTCTTCATCAGAACAGATTTTGAGAAATGTAGCATTGCATCACTTTATCACCAGTGGATGCTCTGCAGTGAATGGGTGCCGTCAGAATGAGAGTCCAAACAGCTGATTAAAAACATCACAATAATCCGCACCACTCCAGTCCATCAGTTAACATCTAGTGAAGTGAAAAGCTGCTTGTTTGTAAAAAAACAAATCCATCATCAGGATGTTTTTAACTTTAAATCATTGCACCAAAATACTGTAATCCATAATAATGCATTATGACGGCACCTATTCATTGCATTTTTGGGTGAACTATTCCTTTCCTTTATTAAAATATGAAATCTAAGGTTAGTCACAATAACAAGCTATTATTATTATTATTATTATTAAAATTTTGATTACAATGATTCCACTATGTGAAAATGATTCCTAATAAAGAATGTGTAGCTGTGTCCAAATGTTTGGTAGTGTAAGTGTATTTTCACATACTCTGTTTTTTTTTGTTTTTTTAAGCATGCTTATGTTATATGATATGTCAGGTGTTCTGGGTCACCTGATGGCTTTAGAGAGGAGAGGTATGGGACAGCAGGACCAGCATGAGTCTCAGAGATTAGAGATGCTCAAGGTCAGAGCCGTGGCCCTCCGTGCCCAAAGAGATCAACTCAAACATCAGGCAGACGCTGTCAAGGTAAAGAGACATTTATATAACATCTAATTTTCTCATTGACACGATAATGTAAAAATCCAGTGTCTTTATATAGGTGCAGAGTAGCACTACTATTCATAATTCTTACTCTAAATGTGTATGAGCTTTATTATCTGCTTATTCACGTTGCACGGCAGATCCTGAAAGATAAAATCAGCAAAGATCTTCCTTTGGATGATGCTGATGCTGCAGGCGGCTTCATTGAACTACAGAAGTCTTTGTTAACAGCTTGGAGAATGCAGTTGAAAGACCTTCAGCGTGCTCATCACTTAATTGGTAATTTTGTACCAACTAAATCATATTAAGTTCACGGCCAGGTCATTGCCTCTGTTTTAGGCCTGATTGATTGTGCTGTCTTTCTCAGGTGGCTATGATTTGGTGGAGTGTAAGGAAGGGAAAAGCGTGTGTGTGTCTTTTCACACGGCCTTTGAGGGTGTGTATTTGGAGACGTATAACATGGAGCTGGACCTGACGCGCACCGTGCAGATCTCTCGTCATAACATCCCCCCGTCATTCCCACTCGAGAGTATTGCCAAACAGATCCTGCAGAAAGACCTCAAAGGCTTCCTGCAAACCCTCAGCCAGAAACTCAACGCTTTAGCTGGTCGCAGACAGCAGGTCTACCTCCTCAAGGTATTCCGGCTTCCTGCATTCACTGTAAATACTAGGCTGCATTTATTTGATCTAAAATACAGTAAAAACAGTAATGTTGTGAAATAATATTACAATTTAAAATAACTTTTCTATTTGAATATATTTTAAAATATAATTTATTCCTGCGATGCAAGACATCATTGCTTCAGTCTTCAGTGTCACATGATCCTTCAGAAATCATTCTAATATGCTCAATTGCTGCTCAAGAACCATTTCTTGTTATTATCCATGTTGAAAACAGTTGTGCTGCTTCCTATTTTTGTGGAAACCAAGATAGATATATTTTTAGGATTCTTTGATAAGTAGAAAGTTCAAAAGAACAATTTATTTGAAAGAGAAATATTCAGCGATGTCTTTTGATCAATTTAATGCATCTTTGCTGAATAGAAGTCTTTCTTGTCTTTGCCACAGGAGCTCGTTGGTTCGGTGGAGGTTATGGAGAGCAATCAGTTGTGCAATATTCTTGTGCTCATGTGTACAGCACAGGGCGAGACTCCCAAAGCTGTTCTGTGCACACTGGAGTACGGCGATCTCACACAATGTCTGCCAACCCGGGTTAGCATCGAGTGTGAAGGTACGGCACATCACAGTTGAACTGATCCTGGATAAGCTCCACCCCTCGCTTACTATTTCTCATTTGAAAAAGAACATTCCTGTATCTCAAACAGTAGAGCATAGAGCTTGCAACAGCAAGGTCATAAGTTCAAGTGCAAGACCTGACAGAAAATGTATAGCTTGAATGCAAAGTAAGTCGATTGGGTAAAATAGATGCAGATATAACAGAACAAATTAATATGTATAAATTAAAGCCACAGTTCACCTAAAAATTAAAGCTCTGTCATCATTTACTCATCCTCATGTCGTTCCAAACCTTCTAACTTTGGTTAATCTACGAAACACGAATTAAAGGCACAATATGTAAGATTTTTTTATACTACCACTAGATATTCAAAAACCACTAGAACAGTGTTCTATATTTTGCTGACTTGTGTTCTTACATTATCCCACATGTTTCGAAGAGTGTTTAAATCCAGAGAAATAAGCAATTTTAACTAGTGACATGGACCGTGTCAATGTGTCATTGTGTTCGCCTGCCAATGACGTCATAACCCCTCGATTTCAGCTTTAGTTTTGTAGAAAACATGGAAACACCAAAGACGCTTTAATATGTTGTGCGTTTTAATAGACCGGCGACGACCGCACAGAGTAGCATTATAACAGAACTTTCACATGTATCAAGTATGATAAAACAGCACTGTTTTTTTTTCCCCACATACGCACGACCGGAAGCAGCGGAAGCGGTCGACTGTGGCATAATAAAAGCTCAGCTGCTTTCGAGCCGTGTGTCACGCTCGTTCAGCGCCTCGTTTCGCCTCGACAGCTACCAGCCTCACCCTGCTTCATTCTACTACGTTAATAAATCATTAGCTCATCTATGAACATGATTTCTGCCCGAGTCCCGTCGGATTGCTTCGGCTGTGGGGATGAAGGCCACAACTCCCATGATTCCACACTCAGTCACGGCGTCATCAAACTATGCCTTTGCTTCTTTGTTTATTTTGAATGCGCGCCCTCCAGCTGTGAAAATTACATATTGTGCCTTTAAGATATTTTTTATGAAATCTGAGAGGTTCTGTCCCTCCAAAAAAAAGGACGTAAAGAGTTTTCTATTCCTTTATATAAAGGTCAGAAAGACATCATAAAAGGAATCCATTTGAATCAAGGGTTTTAATCCAAGTGTTGTGAAGAGATTCAATCGCTTTATATAATGTGTTTTGCCATGCTTCCTGTGTTTTCATTTTATGACCTTTTTGGATCTTCTACGTTTTGGGTACCTGGACTTTTTTCTCAGGTTTTGTTAAAAATATCTTAAAGGGGTCATATGATGCGATTTCAAGTTTTTCTCTTTGGAGTGTTACAAGCTGTTTGTGAATAGATAAGATCCCTAAAGTTGCAAAGACTAAAGTCCCAAATCCAAAGATATATTCTTTATAAAAGTTAAGACTCGTCCACACCCTCCTAAAACACCTCGTTTAAACACGCCCCCACATGTCTACATCACTGTGTGGGAAGATTTACATAACGCCGCCCAAAATGTTCACGCAAAGAAAGAAGGCGTAACTTTTATTCTCGCTGTAGTATTGCCATGTCGTGAAGGCACTGTGTGTTTCGTTGTGAAAGTGAAACTACTTTGTTTGGTCTTCCAAAAGAAGACACAACTAGAAATCAGTGGTTAAGTTGTATTTACAACACTGTTCCAGAACAGTTCAACCCAAATATTCAGATGTGTGCAGCGCATTTTACGTAGGACGAGGACTGTTTCCTAGGAGAGTAGACTACAATGCCGGTGTTACGGTGAATTCAGTTCCCCTGTTTTCCCCTCGGCGTGCATGCTGACCACAGTCTATGATGCTGACAAATAATGCTGACTCACAGTCTGTAAGTACGTTTTCATATTTAAAGGATTTGCCACTGATGATTCAAACGCGAGTTTTGAGCAGTGTAGAGTAGCGCTTGTTGTTTGTCGTTTCTCCAATCACAAATGCAGACATGGTTTTATGTTTACGCGGCGCTATGCAACGCAACGCGTAAAAAGACAGTATAAGTCATTATAATCAGTAATTATGTCCCCACTGGATGCAACAAATGCCTAGTTTGTAATGGGTTTTATTGGTTTTGTCTCGTCACTCCGGCCGGGACACAGCATCACAATATGGTAAGGGGCGTAACATTTCCGTCACACGCTTGAGGTATTCGGCCAATCACAAAGCACTGGATAGCTAGGCAGTCACAGCACACCTTGCTTTTCAGAACTTTGTAAAAATCGACGTGTTTCAGAAAGGCGGGGCATAGAGGAGAAACAATAATGTACAGTATGTGGAAAATAATGTGTTTTTTGAACCTTAAACTGCATAACACATTTCATTACACCAAATACACAAAATAATTTTTAGCAACATCATATGACCCCTTAAATTTCTTAATTTAGAATAATTGGGTTCGGAATGTCGTGAGGGTGAGTAAATGATGACAGAATTTCCATTTTTGAGTGAATTATCCCTTAAATATGAAATTATTTTCAGTAAAATCACCCATTAAGTGGTAAACAATATTGAATGGATATTATTCTTATATGGACTAGAATGACGTGTGAGATTACATAGCATCTTTATCGGCTGTATTTCAGTTAAATTATGCAGTAACTATTAAAAAATGTAGGAAAAAATTTAATTAAGATCATAAAATCCTGGTTATTGTCATTTAATGTATGTGTTCTTACTGATGTTCATTTGGGAATGAGGGCAACAGTGTAATCAAAGCAGGCACTTGATTTATCTTTATTTAAAGATTTGAAAAATAATTGGTATCAAGTTAATTTGGGTTTATTTGCATTTATTCTTGTAGATAAAACACTTTCAGAATCTCCACAGTGGAAGAAACACCAGTCGTTGCTCCTGGAGTCTCCAGCTCATACAGCTCTCCTGACCATGAGGAGGATGGGAAGCATCGCTTAACGAATGTGACAAAATAAACGCCTTAATGTAAATAATGTCCTGTAACAGTGCAGTTAAAACCAGACAGCTCTACCATTGGGCTCATATGACCTGAGAGATGCACAGAGCTTTACATTCAGAGCTGAATCACACGTAACTTAAGAGAACTGAGGAAACAAACAACTATTTAGCATGATTCATCAGTTCAAAATTCTCTTAAAAGCACACAAATGTTCATACATACATTGTCAAATGCTCTATAGAGTTGAGAAAGCACCTTATTTTCTGTTGTAGTTTTTCTCTCTGCAGTTGTTTCAGTCTTTCTTTATACCGTCGATAATACTCTTCCTGATACATCAGCTCTTTCTGAGAGATGCTGTCGATCAACGCCAGGTCTTTCAGCTGTAGAATGGAAAGCTGAGCGTTTTCTGAAGCTTTGAATTTCTCTGTGACTATCATAGATGAAGAAGAATCGACTTGCTTGACAGAGAATGATGCTGATTTAGCAAACCTCTGTTCTCTGTCATCCTTACACGCTTTCACCGAGGATATAGGTCTGAAAGCTGGAGCGGATTTTGAAAATCGTGTCTCGTGTGCATCGTTTGTCATCCTGACCTCTGATATGGCCCTCATTGTTTTGTTTATGGTCGCGTGCGGTTCGCAAACCCTTAAATTAAGCAGCCGTTTGTGCTCTTTTAGCACTAGCTCGCGCTCCTGCTCCAGCAGCCTGAGGTTGAGTCTGTATTTGGCGCTGATGTTGTGTAGTTTCCACTGAAGATGGACGTCCTCTTTGTGGTTCAGCAGTCTTACGTCCATGTAACGGCAAGACTTGGGTCTCTTAATGCTTAGCTGTTTTGACATTTTGAGATGTTCCCTTGAAACAAATAAATGGAACAGACAACCAGTTTTTGGTTAAGCACACAGATGTAGATTGTTCCAAGCTCAATTTATTTTAAAAACACAGTGTCTGCTCATATACACGCATACAGCGGAGACCAAAAGTCTCAGAAGCTTCAGACATTTGGACCCCAATGAATGTTTCAAGGCTAAGTTATTTTACACAAATATGTACATTGTGTATACATAATAAATGTCAATTTTCTGTACCTGAAACTGCTGCGTATGGTTTGTCGTGTTGTATGAGCATGTAGATTAAGAATCTGCTGCTATGACACTTAAACATATAAACAATGTCTTTCTTTCGGTCAGCTTTTAGGGTTTTGAATTTCAAAGTAATTTGGTCACATGATCACTATTGTGTCTATAATAACAAAGTAAAGATGGAAGGTTGAACTCTTCAGAATTTTTAATAGCTCACAACTCCTTTGCATTTCCATTTTTATGAAAATATTTTTTAGCAAAATTTCACATTTCAGTAGTTTGGTGTCTCCGAGTAAGATTCTCTAATCTCTGCATGTACTACAGCTGTACACGTCAGTTGTTTGTAAGTGTTTTATCGTATTTTTATTTATTTTATTGTATTTTATTTTCCCCCAGTGTGTTCCTTGTCTGCGTTTGCAGTGACAGGGATGAAATTATTATTATTATTGTTACAAATCAGTATTATATAATATCCTCTAGCCAAGCAATTTGGAGTCTGGATGGATATAGTTAAATAGAATATTATATGGTATTAAATAATGTTTTTACAATTAGTTCACCCTATAATTTAGCTGTTTTCGAGATCCCAACAGATTATGAAGATCATGTCAAGCTGGACATTATTTGTGTATTTTTTGAGTAAATTTAACCCTATGCTCCATATAACTAGTTTTCACTAAAATCACAGTAGTTACTGCAGTTATCTCTGCTGTAGGAGTATTACAACTACAAAACCGTAAATTAATAGGATCTTCTTCAAACTAAGAATTTTCAGAATGTTTTGTTCTTTTTAGAATGTGGTTGTACTATGCTAATTATGGTATTTTTTATTTTTATTTTAATACCATGGTATTTTTGGGGGAGGTACTACTGCATTATTTCCATTGTTTCGTTTCACTGCAGTTTAGACATGCGAACGACCAACGGCCAGTAAACAACATTCACAACATCAAAACTTTGAGTGTTTTGTTGAGGTGAGGTTAATTTAAAATTACTCTAATTTGAGTTCAATGCTGTTTTCTCTCGCAGGAAGTGTTAAATGTTTGACACATAAACATGAAAGTGGCCTATTTTAATTATAGTGTCAGTGTTCACTCTTTATCAAGCCGCAGCTCTTCCTGAGGCCTGGCTGACTGCCTACCAACTTTTGCACTTCATAGGTAACATAACATCAGTGTTTTATTATCTTTAAATGTGACTTTTTAACCAAAAATTAAAATGAGCTTTAAAGTTACTCACCCTCAGGCAATCTAAGATGTAGACGTAGACAAAATGTAGCATTACATCACTTGCTCGCCAATGAATGTGAATGGGTGCCATCAGAATGAGAGTCCAAACAGCTGATAAAAACATCACAATAATCCACTCACCACTCCAGTCCAGCAATTAATGTCTTGAGAAGTGAAAGCTGTTTGTTTGTAAGAAACAAATCCATCGAGACATTTTTGACTTCAAGCCATTGCTTCCAGCTAAAATATGAGTCCTCTATCTATAATATTGCTTTCTCCATTGAAAAAGTAATCTCGTCTGAATCAGGCAAAATATGCAAAGACTAAGCACCGTTTACAAGTGAAAACAGTCCAAAACAAATGCTGGTGGATTTTAATGTGTGAGAACAACAGGGGATGGACTTTTTCACTGGAGGAAGCAATATTATGGATTATAGACTTGTATTTTGGACAGAGGCAATGGTTTAAAGTTTAATCCATCTTAATGATGGATTTGTTTCTTACAAACACAGCTTTTCGCTTCAGAAGATGTTAATTGATGGACTGGAGTTGTTTGTGTTACTTGTGATGTTTTTTTAATTTTTCTGTTTGAACTCTCATTGTGATGGCACCCATTCACTTTCATTGGTGAGCAAGCGATGTAATGCTTAATTTCTCCAAATCTGTTCTGATTAAAAAACTCATCTACATCTACATTTTCAACAAACTTTCATTTTTGGGTGACCTATTCCTTTAAGTGTTCAAATGCATTTTAAGACCATTATATTTCTATATGCTGCTGTCTTTTATAGCCAAAGTGAAGCCGAATGAGACTGTATTGATTCATGCTGGAGCGAGTGGATTCGGCACTGCTGCTATTCAGCTGGTTCGCTTGAGTCGTGCGATTCAAGTAGCAACGGCAGGGAGTCCTGAAAAGTTCATCAATCACCAAAAAAGAAATAATTTACAAAAAGGAGGATTTTTCGGAAAAAGTACTGCAGTTCACTGAAGGTCAGTATTTTAAGTGTTCTGAACACATTTAAATGAAAGGGGTCATATGATGCAATTTCAATTTTTCCTTTCTCTTTGGAGTGTTACAAGCTCTTGGTGCATAAAGAAGATCTGTAAAGTTGCAAAGACTAAAGTCTCAAATCCAAAGAGATATTCTTTATAAAAGTTAAGAGTCAGCCACGCCTACCTAAAATGGCTCGTTCTAACACGCCCCCACATGTCTACATCACTTTGTGGGAAGAATTGCATAACTCCGCCCAAATGTTCACGCAAAGAAAGAAGGTGTAACTTTTATTCTCCCTAGTTTTGTTGATGCTGCAGCCATGTCGTGAAGACGCTGTGTGCTTCGTTGTGAAAGCGAAACTACTTTGTTTGGTCTTCCAAAAGAGGACGATATCTGCTTCGTCATGCCTAGAGCTGATCCGTGCTGGTCGCTGAGGGAATACATCAACTTTCACCGTGGACGAAGCGGAGTCCAGCCCAGGGTCGTCACATGTGGGTGCCGCTCATTCGTCGCATCCGCGGGGCATGCCGTTCTCGACCCCACCGCCTCAGCTCACTCTATCCCGGCCCGATGCAATGCAATGCGTAAAAAGACAGTATAAGTCATTATAATCAGTAATTATGTCCCCACTGGATGCAATAAATGCCTTGCTTGTAATGGGTTTTAATGTTTTTGAATCATCGCTCCGGCCGGACAGGGCATCATCACAGTATGGTGAGGGGCGTAACATTTCCGTCACACGCTTGAGGTATTCGGCCAATCACAACACAGTGGATAGCTGGCCAATCACAGCACACCTCGCTTTTCAGACCGATGAGCTTTGTAAAAATCTACTTGTTTCAGAAAGGCGGGGCATAGAGGTGAAACAATAATGTACAGTATGTGGAAAATAATGT